ACCAAGTCGGAGACCTCATCGGTCACCGTGGAGAGAATCCAACCTTGAAGCAAGGCATCAAGTTGAAACCATTCGTCGTCGTCGGCGGAAGAGGGGATCTTAGAGCCGGAGAGAAACCCATGGAGATTAAACCGTCGAACAAGGAGCAAAAAAAGACGACACCATTTTTTGTAATTAGGTTGAGAAAAACTCAACTGTATGGGACGTGAAGCTTGACGTTAGATATAGCCGTGAACGCCAAGTGAGGAGAATTTGAGGAGGTGGTGGAGGGAGATTTGTCCGTCGTCTTGTCGGAGTCCATGAGGAGAGAGAGAGAGAGACGACGAAGGAGGAGGGTGGGGCTGCTGCGGCAGTAAGGCCGAGAGAGAGAGAGAGAGCAGCGCCGAGGGAGAAGAGCCGAGAGAGAATTGGGGTTTGGGAATTAGGGTTTTGGCTCCGATACCATGAAGAATGAATATTTTCAATGATTAAAAGTGTAGGAGTACAACCGTATATATAGACAGGACGAGACTCCTAATACGAGTAGGAAACCTATACAAAAGGTAACTACCAATAATACAATGATACAATAATAAATACATTAAATATACTTAACATAAATATATATGGTAAATATATTTAACAGTAACACCACTCTATTTTCTTCCATACATTTTTATTTAATTTTTATTTACTTATTTTTTTTGAATTTTTTTGCCTTTTTTAGTGGACAAGGAGGGGTGAGGAATATTTGGGGTACACCAAAAGGTGTACCCTAGCATTTTTCATTCTTCAATACACTGTAAAGTGTACACAAAGGATCCGGGTCGGATCTGGGCCGGGCTGGATACAAATTATTAGTCCATTTACATGGGCGGGTTTAGTCCGGCCTAAATTTTATGGGCTAAACTCTTTACCCATACTCGCCCATCTTAGCGGGCCGAACTACCCACCGAGCCACCCGGCCCGGATAAAACACCAAGAAAACTTTTTTTGCACAAAAAATCTAAAAAAACATTGAACTCTTTTTTCAATGTTTAAAATAAAAACACCACTCACCAAATTTACATACAAATCATAACAGAGGTACTGTTACATAATTAATAAACTCATCATACTAATTTATTGAAAGAATATTGTTTTTTAAAGAGAGGTGAGTGAATTGAACCATTATATTATACATGAACTATAAAGTTTTCAAAATTATATTGGCTAGATAATTAATAATAAAGTGAATATTTTTTATGAATATGGGCGGGCATGTTGGCTCGGATGAGCTAAAAGTAACTTTCAGATTCGCCCAAATATAATTCAAGCTTGGGCCGGTCCGCCCATGTGGGTATTAAAGGTTGTCCATATCTGCCCTTTTTAAAAAGCGGGCCAGACGGGCCGACCCTTGTTTGCACTAGTCTAAATGCACCCCCTTCTCTCAAATTAGATTATACTCCGTACTCCGTAATTACTAATTACAATTTCTCATTTACTTCGTATGAATTAAGGCCTACACGTTTTAAAAGAAATTTATTTAAAAATTGGTATAAAATTAATTACTGAAATGTATATTTTAAAAAGTAACGTCAAATGTTCAACAAAACAAGAGGCGATCCAGATATTTTATTTTATCAATATTTAGTGAAAAATATACAAACAAACAAAAATTACCGAGATATAGGTCTCAAAAGAGTGTAATACAATTCAGGACGGTTCATTACTCTAAAGGCATAGTCTTTTAGAGTAACAAATATTCGTTTCCAACATCGATTCATGTTATTATATACACAACGGTTCTTTTGACTTGGAACTCCGGGTCATATTATGACCCGGGATACCGGTGCTTCGTTCGTAAAATTGATGGTTCTTACTCCTTTAACTCCTCCTAAACCCTATCCCCATGCCCCCTACCTGCCCACCCCACCACAGCACCCCCCATGCCCCACCCTCCATTTCAAAATATATACACGACTACTTATATTCCTAAGTATTTTTATTCAGTTTTGACTTTTTATAGTCAAAACAAATGAATTTTGATAACTAATTAAATAAAATTGTATTAGATATTCATACAAAACTAATTTTATTAAATTTGTTTATGTAATATGTTCAAAATATTATTTTATCATACGTTTATACCATATCAATTTTATTTAAATATAAGTGAAAGGTGAAAAATAGTTAATTTTGAAAAGTCAAAACTAGACAAAAGTTCAATGATGTATGTAGTACAAAATATATGTATTATGGCTGAGTTTTGATTTTTTTAGTTCAATTTTTACCTAAAACCAAAAATCAAACGGAAGGTTAAAATTCAACTCAGTCTTATATACAAAAATATGCGAGTCGTTGGTTCATTAGTTTGATTTTTTATGATTCGATTTTTGGTTTTTAATTTTTTATATACTCCGTAAAATTAATAAATATTATCCCGTAGTTGATTTTTAAATTTACTTATATAATACTAAATCATAACTATTTTTAGATATAGTACTTAATGATTTAAATTTTCTAAGGATCCGTTTGGTATACGAAATTGATGGAATTAGAATATAATTGAAATTGAAATTTCAATTTCATAGAATTGAATTCACCAATTTTACTTTATTTATGCATTTTCAGTGACTATTTGATAAAATAAAATAACATTGTCACAACTTGTTATGTAGAACTTTTGATAGAGTGTTTTAATATATAATTCTTATCATTTAACTCCACACCAATTTTTACTTGTATTGAGTTGAAAATAACTTCAGTCAAACATCATAAACCGAATGAGAGTCTTTCTGAGTTCTGAGAGAGGGAGTATTTTTTAGTGTTATTGATTCTATTACAAAATGATGTCTGTTCATACTTTTTCAATCTAGTGATGCATATGATCCAGGCCACCGATTTCATGAGAAATCAAACATGAATGAACTTTCTTATGAATCTTGGAATAAATTCAACAATAAGGTCGCACAAAAAGAATATAATATGAATAGAGTACACTAGGTGGCAACTATACTACACATATGGTCTTTACAAGCACTAAGTACAAACTCGACTTTTTGCCATACGATTAAATTATAATTTAATTTTTTTCAGTGGTTGTCCAGTGATATCTAAGATGATCCTTAGGAATGAAGCTCATCCTGAATGCACCTCTCTTATAGACTTTGAGAACTCTCAAGATTAAGGTTTATACATGGGCTCCATTTATGGGCTTTCTATGTAGACCTACCTCAAATTTCTTGGACCCATGCAAGATTGCTAGGTGAGTATTATTCCATTATGGATCATACTGAAATACTGATACAAAAATAGTAAGGAATCTCAAAATTTTGACACCAAATATATATCAAAGCCAATATAGACAAATCGAGACATTTAATGTCTCTGCACACAGATATTAAATATATGAGTGTGTCTATATTAGCCTTGGTGTGTATTACATGTCAAAATCTTGGGGTCTCCCTAACACTTCTTATTGATATTACAAGATTTGTTTATGCACGCGCATAGATAAATCTTATCGGTTAAAGATAAAAATGAGGTAACTTGGTGTACAACAAGCTTCACCATTGATACAAATAATGATTAGATATTATTAGTTTGTTCTAAAATATGTAAAAAAAATTTGGTCTTTGTAAATATTTTTTGTTTAAGTCGTCCTTACAATTTTTTTTGAAAATGGTTCTTATACGTAATTAAGAATTTTAATTTGTTGATATATCACATTTATATTGTACTCAACAGTTTAGTTTTTCATTATAATTACTTTAGTTACAATTCTCATTTCCTAAGTTGTATTTTTTATCAAATGATATCTTCAATTCATAAATTTTTATTATATACTTCATCCATCTCAAAAAGAATGTCACTATTACTATTTAGCTCTCTCAATAACATTTGTTTGTTCATACATTTTGGTTGACCATTTGAAAATATAACATAATCTTGATCAAATCTTGTTTTGTAAAACTTTTGATTTACTTCTAAACAATGTAATTTTAACTTTTATTTTTCTACCAATTTATAAATAAAATAATTTTAAAATAAATGATATTTTGTACGTCATTCCAAATGTAGTAAGCAATTTGAGACGGAAGGAGTATTATATTTCTAAGAAACTTGGGAATTAGAGATGTAATATAAACAAGTACACAATTTAGGACTTGAAAATTGTATCACATGTAATTAGAGTTCCAAATTAAGATGTTGTGTATGAAATGAATGTGTTATGTCATCTACTTAGAAATGCCAATTATGTTCAAGGACCATTTTCAAAATAATATTTTATAAGGATGACTTTACAAAAAAAATATTTTACAGAAATAAAAAATTAAACTTGTCTATTTTAGAGGGACTAAAAATATATTTAACCCATACTAAATAATGTGTCCTTGTATTGCCTAATAATGCGTATAACTATTAAAATAGTAGTACATATTTTGAAACTTTCAAGATGTGAAAATTATTCTTGAATCATATAAACTAAATTCTTCTATTGTCTTAAGATCTACTTTAGTTTTATAGACCGTAATATATAAATATCATAGATGAATTAGATTTTTTGAAAAAAATTAAATATCCCCACATTAGTCGACTAAAAAGTGAGAAGATTTGCATTACATATGTGAATCTTGAGATCATAGAAGCACAACTCATCATATAAACCATCATCTAAAAAAATTACTCTACATCAGTGTCACATCATATATTTGTGAGAGGAAGGAAAATTATTCATTGATCATACACTTATTTTTACTGCATCTTTACTCTCCTCTACATCGGTGTCACATCATATTCCATTGTTTTCCTACCTTTCTAATCACCAGTAGACGGGTCTGTTTGGGAATAGCGTTATCGTTTTGGATAAAATTTTAACAGTGCAGATTACTTTGAAAATGCTAACGCTGGCTGTAGATAGCCTTTTCAAAACGCTAACGCTAATTTCTAATGTAACACCCCAACCCGCGTGACCCGAATACAAGGACCAACGGATCGGGTTGCTACTAGATTGGCATTCAGACGCAATAATTTTTCAAAACAATTTAAAACATTTAATTCAAAACAATATTTAAAACATTCATCGGAGTTAATAAAACGGTGCGGAAGCCTTTAAGTACTTGATCAAAATACAACTTTGGGTTCTTGCCCTTAAAAACATAATTAATTCAAATGCAATAACTAAACTAGATAGCTCCTCCAGCCAGCATCCATCCACCTCTCTGCCCTTGCTGGATATTTCCTTATTCATCATTCATATTACCTACGTGTAGCAAATAGGAAAAAGGGCTACACGCTCAGCATTGAAGCTGAGTGGAATCTATCTAACGTTCGACTACGCACATAGACGAACCCTCTGGCTCATAATTTCATACAATATCATGCACACAAGTTTAACAGTATAATATCACATAACAATCATTAAATAAATTCACCAGTCACAAATCATTACCTTATTTCCTCTTTATTCATTGCTCATAACATAATTACCAGACTAAGTCCATACCTCCTTGTTTACAACCTTATGTTCGGGTTTAGAGTCACTACCTACGGCCATGACTCAAGTCTACCTTATTTAATACCTTATGACACAACACAACCTGATGACCAACGAAGGAGTTCTCCGTTGGGTGGGTGGTACCCCTGTCCCCTTCGGAACGACAGTTCTTGGATCCCGTACGTACGTTTTAACCCGCAGCCGTCGGATATCAGATCCGCAGGCTGATCCTATCTATGGACATTTATACTTACAATTGTACTAAGGCAGTCCTAGAGTTTCCCTAGATAGCATAATCATTTATTTACAGCACCTCTATAATTCAAGCTTATTCCAACAACAATCTCACTTCCTTAATTACTTCCATAACCCAACAGGATTATATTTAATCATAACAATAAATATATCATTAATCAGACAATAAATCATACAACTCAATTAGTGGCATAGTGTCAGGTGTAACACCTTCTACTTATCGTCATGCAAATCACACAAATTCGAAGTAAGAAAACGTACCTGGTCATCCTTGTTCAATCAACTCCAACAATAACATATAATATAATTAAATCATAATTCAATTGTAACAAATAAACCACGTAATCAATCATAAAAAACTACGAATGTGAATTTCAAATCTATATACATAATCTAGCGTTAGATGTGCAAGTTCTGACCTCGGTTATTTGACGAACTAGTCAGCGAATCAAACAGTGGAGGAGTCGTGGTCCGCAGTGCAAACAGCGGCTTTAGACCGGCGGCAACCAGCGGCGTGTTCCGGCTCTATTCTGCTTTCCCTTCCTCTCTTTTCCGCCGCACAGAGGTACTCTGTAATTGTTTCTTTTCTTTTCTTCCCTTCCATCGTGTGCGTGCGTGTATTATTTATAGAAAGGGGGAAGGGTTTTGGTGTTTGCGCGTTTGGGTAGTTTAGGTCGTAGGTTAGGAGTTTTAGATTTAGGAAATTCTTTTATTTTATTATTAAAATCTTTATATTTATTTATTGAACTGTAATGTTTATTTTATTCACCACGCTTTATACGTATGTCCAAATTTAACAAATTATATACCGCTGGTCACCATTTTACGAGATCTATCCGAAAATCCAATTTTAATTTAAAACGGATAACTTTACAAATAATTCATATTTTAGAGTAAATAAATATTATATTTATTTTTTTTATTAAAATTACGACTAACTACTAAGCCGGTTTTTGGGTCGTTACATCTAATGCTATTCTCAAACAGGTCCGACGCGTACCTAAGCTAATTTATCAACTTAGTTTAACTAATTTAAACAAACTACCATTTTAAAACTAATACTGTAATACAAATTGGGTCATTTATCGAATTAAAATTCTCATTCCAAAATTTTACTCCGTATTATATTTGGAGTGAGAGATGTAATATGAATAAGAAGACAATTTAGAACATGAAATTCCGTCAGAGATAATAAAAAATGTAAGACTAGTACGTGGAGTATGAAATAAATGTGTTACCTTAACTAATTAAAAGTACTAATTGCGTTTAAAGACTATTTTTAAAAGAAATATTTTTGTAAGGATGCCTTGAACAATTTTTTTACAAGAGCAAAAAACAAAAGTTTTATATTTTATAGGGACTATTTTTTCAAATGGTCAATGAAAGTGTTAAAGAGCATCCCACATCGGAAAAGTGTGAGGAAGTTAATCGGTATATAAACTCTTGAGTTGAATGAGGGTTCATTTGCAAGTGGTCAACCGGTTATATTCAAAATGGCCCGGTTGTCCACTTGAGGAGAGTGTTAAAGAGCATCCCACATCGGAAAAGTGTGAGGAATTTAATCGGTATATAAACTCTTGAGTTGAACTAACTAATAGATTGGATTCAATCTTTTAATGTGGTTCAATCCAAGTGTCTTATTTCCCAATCCAGTTGTCCATATCCATCCCAAATTCTATCAGAAAGCATCGAAAGGAACAAAAAGTTTCAAAAAATTGAAATAGGGAATGGTGCATTATCTACCAATTTAGAATCAAGTTCATCCCAATTTCATAGGTCATATCTCATTTTCAACAGTAACAAAACAGGCATTATCATCTAATCGCACTATATTAACACCGTCGCACTCATCTACCTTCTACTCTAATATTTTATTTTAGCACTAATCTTCTAAAGATTATTAATTGCCACAATGGATAATCCAATTAATTTTCATCATCATAATGCGTTTGCGCAAGTAATTTGGAGTTCTTTCGATCCATAGACCAGAAACATAAGCATGCTCTTTGTAATGTGCTAACAGCAATAGTTAATAAACCTTTGTTGCCATAGAAGATATAAAATCACAAAATGATCATAAGAAGTAAATCCATCAAAATATTTCAAAATCATGAATACAAACGGAAGCCCACGTCTCGAAAGGAGATGTTAAAAGCATCACTACACATTTTCAGCTCGAGAGATCAGAACTCACCTTACTTGTGGCATCATGACACCTCTTGCCAGCTTCAACAGCTTCTCTGAAAGCTGCTACAAGCTCCATGTTTTCCGGGTCAAGCCGGACACCATCATAAAAGGCATTTGCAGCATCTTCAAACTTCTGCATTAGGCGTAGAGCAGCACCTTCCCTATAGCAAGCTTTTGGCCAATCTGGTCTGAGTTCTCTGCACGCTTTGGCATCGGCTAAAGCTTGCGCAGCTTGACCCAACCGAAGCCAACAAAGACTTCTATTGGAAAGCAATGTTGCATCAGTTGGGTCAAAATCAATAGCCTGTGTATAAGCATCCACAGCCGTTGCATAGTCCTTTCTCCCAAAAGAATCCTGTCCGTTCGCCTTTGCTTCAGACGCCTTCTTTTTAGCCTCGGGGGACACCTCGGGTAAATTTTTCTTGGGAAGGGTAGGCTCTATGGGCTTGTTTGATTCCTTCGGAGCTTTTTCCTGAGATTTCTCAGCTTGAGACTTCGTGTATTCAATTAGTCCATCAACACTCCATTCTAGCACGCCTTGAATCTGTGGTGTTACGGGGAAAAGAAGGGTAACGGCCTCCCGATTACCCACACCAGCAGCAACTTGAATTGGCTTCAACCCCTCCTCATCAACAGCATTAGGATCACCTCCTGCTTCTAACAATGTCTTGACCATACCCGGACTACCATTATAAGCAGCAATGTGTAAAGGTGTTGATCCACCCGCGCTTATATTCGCGTTGGCACCAGCATTCACTAGCATTTCTACACACCGCAATGAACCTGCGGCAACAGCACCAAGCAACGGAGTGACACCATCATCACTCTCAGCATTCGGATTCGCATTCTGCTCCAGCAACAGCTTCACGGAGTCTTCTTGGCTGTTACCTGCAGCCCACAAAAGAGGTGGACCAGCATGGCTTTGCAAATCAACATTTACATCTTTGGAAAGAAATGATTTCATCAGCTCAATGTCCCCTAATCCTGCAGCGTGATGCAACGCCGTAATTCCCATCTCACTAGCAATTGCGGGTTCAGCTCCCTTTTGTAAGAGGTAATTGGCAGTGGCAGTGTGACCCTGCCGAGCAGCATGGACAAGAGGTGTTTCCCCATCTTCATCCCTGGCGTTAACGTCAAGCATCAACTCCTCAACCACGTACTTGCACATATCAGTCTGGCCCTCCCTCGCGGCGAAATGGAGAGCCCCACGCTTGTTTGCATCCAAAACATCCGCTGCCGTCTGCGCCAACCCCTTCCCATTGCCGATCTGCTCAGCCAATTTCTTGAAAAGATCAATGTTCCCTGTCCTGGCAGCGTTCAAAAACTTCTCAACTTTGTCCCTTACTGCAAGAGCATCTAAAGCATCAGGGGCCATTAGGGTGGAAGGTGTGACCTGTGCAAAATAGTGTGGAAAAAAAATTATACCTTGAGTAAATTTTAAGTTCAATCAATTATAATGTATTCATCAGTCTAATTTATTTCAATAAAAATTATATGAAACTCATATCATAAACCCTACAATTTCAATAGAGTGAAAATTTTGAACATTCAATTAGAACTACATAGCACAATTAAGAGTATTTGATATGTAAAAAGGATTGAAACTAAAATTGTATAAATAAATTAGATAAAAAACCTTGAAATATAGATGAATAGAGTCTAGGGTTATGGTTGTCCTCGGCGGCAAGAGACGGCGGTGAAGGCGGCGCAGACGGCTCGGTTATCTCGCTTTTCTTCTGTTTAGTTCCAAAAAGGGTTGGTGAGTCTGCCCTGCCTTTTCACAGACTCAAGAATCAAGATAATGTTTTCTAAACGGGGTAAAAAAAATAGAGGATTCTAAAAGTGTATTCGAAATATACATCACTTCTTTTATTATTACTTATTTTTATTTATTTATTTATTTATTTTACATGTCAAAATATATGGTAATGAAGGGGTACACATTTAGTGCACCCTAGCATTTTTCAAAAAATAATAATAATTGGGCTTCTAAAAGAATTGAACGAGATAACTTTAAATTTGTTTGAAATGAAGTCTAACGAACCACAAAGAGTACAAATAAACTTACAAAGTATTTCAGTACTAGTATATAAAAAACTTTATACAAACAAATTTAATAACTCCGTCTATACCTTTTTTTTAATTTTACTAAATTCTTAAATTTTTTGTTATTCGAATATGTTTTTTGCACATTTTTTTGGGATTTTTTCTTTTTTTTGTAATGTTGTAGTATAATTATTATTTTTTTAATTTTTGCACTACCACAACGATGACACAAAAAGCTAATATGAAAATTTGCAATCATATTGACATTTTTTGCGAGCATGGACCATCTGAGTGTCGATGTAAACTTTTACTGTACAACTAATGCGTACCAAGTGGTGTGCAAGTAGATTTTTCCATGTTTTATTAATGCAGTTGTGATTGACATCAAATCTATTGCAATGCCATCAGGGTCCTCGATCATACATTCAGATGTACAATATTTTTTATACATTCACGTGAAAACTCATTTTTGAATAATAGAATACTTATTTTGGACATTTATCTACATAGTATTTTAGTATATACCACATATATTTAAAACGTATACATTACAAAATGTATGTATATTCATTTGAAAACTACATACTAGTAATATTTATTACGTTTTTACAGAGTGTACATTTCTGAACAACACAATACTCATTTCACCAAAAATAAAGATGGATGTACAACTAAAATAAGAAAAATATGCAAAATGAGTAATGGATAAAGACTCCTACTTCAAGCTCTTTCTTTTCCTTCTTCTGCGCACACAAGAATTCTAAGGATAATGCTACTTACACCCCAAAGTTACCCCAATTTGTACCCTAACATAAAAGACCGCCCCCCACCCTACACGTGCAAGCAACCCCCCACCCCATACTTGCAAGTAATTCCCCAGCATATTCTCTCTGCTCTCAACTTCGGCTGTCTCTTCGGTGTTTTTTTTCTAGTTAGAACTTTCTCGCCGTCTTTGCCGCCGGTGGTCTCTGTCTTCCTCACACCTACCTTTGTCTTTACCGTCGCGGTCTGTGTCCTCCTCGCCTCTGCCCCCTCGTCTTCCGATTGTCATTCACAGCAATCCATCCCTGCCGGTGCTCTTTGTCCCTGGTCTGTCTCCTCCTCGCCTATTCACACGCCTCCTCCCTACATCCGGTGCTCCGCCAACAAGGTAATTGCTCCTCCTTTTGCAATTGCACCTCTTTTCCCAAAAGTTGTTTAGAAACCCTAAATGCAAAGCTACTGTAATATTCTCTTAAGTTTGGTGCGATTTTCTCTTAAGTTTACTGCAATTTTATATTTTCTATTAAGGTTACTGCAATTTTTTTTTTCAAAATATATCTTGAATGGATGCATGGGCAAATATTTTCTCTTAAATATAGTTTGCAATTTACTGTAATATTCTCTTAAATAATCATTTGAGTGGATGCCTGGGCAAAGCTATACAGCAACTTCACACCTACATTTTCTGCCCAAATGCCTGAGTAATGGTCCATTTTCTACCCAATTGAGTGTGTGGCCATGTTAATATATTCATTGATCTCTGATTTCTGCACTCAATGTGATGTTGTTTATACATTTATGTCATTCAATTACTACCCAAAATGGCTGATGGCAAATTGTTTTTCAAAATATACCTTGAAGTATAATCATTTTAGTGAATGCCCGGGCAAAGCTGTACTGCAGCTTAACACCTACAGTTTTTACCAAAATGCCTGAGTAATGGTCCGTTTTCTACCCATTTGAGTATGTGGTCTTGTTAGTATATTCATTGACCTATGATTTCTTTGCACTCAATGTGATGTTGTTTATATATTCATGTCGTTCAATTACTACCCAAAAGTTGGAATGGACCCAAATGGAAAAGGTAATTTCTTAATAAGAACTGTCAGTGCAATTCTTACGGAACGGAATAACACAGTCATGAAGTGTTAGGATAAAGAACTGCTCTTTACTTACGTGTTACCTGATTGAATATCTTTATGTAGGTCTTCATGACTATCCATGCTAGAAACCGGCATTGGGTTTTACCAGAGCTTGATTTCCCCAATGCGACTATTTGGGTATATGATTCGTTGAAGGGTGCACAGAGCAAATCTTATGTGCGTCCAATCGTTGAAAGACTGCCTCCCCTTTTTCGAACTGTCAAAACCACCGAGGAACATAGAAGTACTCAACCATGGAGAGTGGAGGTCGCCAAGGATGTGCCCCAGCAGTCCAATGGAAACGCATGTGGTGTTATGATCCTTGCATTCGTGGAGTACCTCTTGGCTGGTTTGCCCCTACTTCCTGACTGCACGCACGAACATGTCGACGACTTCCGTACGCAATATGTGCAGCATTTATATTTCGGAAGACGGTCACCTAAAGCTTTTACAATATTTGTTTTTGATTAACGCATAACTATGACTGTTTATCCCTCCATGCTAATATATGAAAGGCATTTTTTTAGCCTTTTAATGATTACTCACTGTATGAATATTTATTTGCGCATGTAAAACACACGTATATTTTTGGATTTGAGCACAACTATGACTGCTTAAGTGTAATATTATTATTGTCTCAAATGTTTGAACATAAGCAGTACCACATGCACATTAAGTGTTGGTGTGTTGAAGATAAACAATAACACACGGACAGTAAGTAATGGTGTATTGAATAGAACCCTAAACACACATATGTGAAGTGTTGGTGTATTCAACAAAATCAGTATAATACAATTTGTTAATTGTACACAACCACTTACATCCTAACATTAAGTCATGGTGTTTTTAATAAAAACAAGAGGACACAGACATTAAGTGTCGGTGTATTGAAGGGAATCAGTAACACACATATATGAAGTGTCGGTGTATTTAACTGATTCAGTACAAAGCACATATTAAGGGTTGGTTTATTCAACCCAACCAGTAACACTTCCTATGTTTACATCTGGGTGTATTTAATATAAAAATTAGCACACATACATTAAGTGTTGGTGTGTAGAACATAAACAGTAACACACACATATGAAGTGTTGGTGTATTGAAGAGAATAAGTAGGCGAGATATTGAACACAACCAGTAACACCATGACTGTTAGTCTTCGTGCATTTTACAAAAAATAATTACATCAACCTGTTCAAGTGTCACATTAGGAAATAATATTCACATATTTAGTGTTCAACTTGCCCACAAAAAATAAGTATATTTACATCATGTGTAAGTGGTGAAGGCAAAAAATTACACAGGTATTACTTACCAAAAAACGTGGGAGCAAATGCATAACAAAAAATGATGGCCCATATACTGAATCATAGCCTGAGATCAAGACTTGGGCAAGTTAGGTCATACACACCATCTTCTCCCGGCCATTCCCACGTAGGCAAATTTTCACTTCCTATGTCACCAATGTTTGGAAGAAGGGTCGTCAATGTCTTTTTAGGGTTTCCCTACTTGGTCTTGTTCACCTTAAGGTCGACATTACTGTCCAAACCTGCACACCGAGCACTACATGTTAACTCTTCTGTTTTGCACCTACATAAACTGTCTGTGTAGGCAACCCTTGGCAGAGTTGCACGTACATAAATGTCAATGTCCATTTAGTGTTTCATAAACAACTCCATATGTACAACATACAATTTATGGTGTTTGCACTAGTCCCCAAAGCCCGCTGCAGATGCAAGTCTCCCTCGTCTTCTAATAGGGTAATGAAAGTAGTTACATCATGTGCATTCGTTATTCCTGCAAATATGGCAGCAAACATTAAACACCACTCTTAGGGGCTGTTTGACAACTTCTGAATAGGTAAGTGCTGAACCAGTAAGAGGTCTGAACCATTAAGTGCTGAACCAGTAAGAGGTCTGAACCATTAAGAGCTAGTATATTGCTTAACTATTCAGAGGCAAATGTCTGATCAATTCAGATAAGAGGTCTTAACCATTCAGACTCTGTATAATACTTAACCATTTAGAGGCAAATCTCTTAACCATTCAGACATCTGAACCATTAAGAGGCTGAAACAAACAATTTGAACCATTAAGTGCTGAACCATTCACACATCTGAACCATTAAGAGGCTGAAACAAACAGCCCCTTACTACTACATAAATTGAATATCATACTTAGAAAATACAAAGTATTAATACTTGACTCTTATACACTAAAGAACTTACTGGGATGTGGGTTTAATATTACTCCATCACCACCAAAGTCACACATTTCATGTGCTTCACATTCATCTATAAAAAAGCTCACCACATTTAATCAAATTGACATTATGTGTAGGTGAAACCTACATACTACTTCTTTGCACAGATATAAAGTGCTCGTGCAAAACATAACAAAAATAGAGAATAAATGCCGATCCTGACAATATCTGTTCGTGAAACCTACATATTACCTCATAGCACAAACATGAATAGTGGTGCAAAACAAATAAACTAAAAGCAGAGAATAAATATCTGACATGACAGTATCCGTAGGTGAAACCTACATACTACCCTATTGCACTGACCTAATTGCTGGTGCAAAACAAGTAAACCTGAAAGTAGATAATAAATGCCCAAGAAAACAAAGTCTTTTCAATGAATGAACATTTCCTACCTGTTTAAAACTAGACTCTAACATAACACAAACATTTCATACTAGTGTAATAAGAAATAAATACTAACCTGTGATAAGAGGAGATGTTGATGCAGCTTCATAATTCTCCCGTGGTTAAGCATCGAATCTAAAATATTAGTTGGGAATGCATCTCCCTTGCCTCATCGTTCTTCACTTACCACACCTTGGTCCATTCCTTTTTTCGATGAAGGCCGTTCTTCACTTTCTTTTTCCGGTGAAGCAACTCGTCGTTGCACCACTCGCAGGCCGTTCTTCAATTTCTTTTTCCGATGAAGCAACACGCCGTCGCACCACTGGCACGCCTTTTCCGGTATGATGGATTACTTGGGCACGAAATGGAAGAAGAAAAGGGGGGAAAGACGGGGTGGGTGAGGACAGAGATAGAGGAGAGAGGAGAGAAGATGGTTGGGTGGGATTAGCTTACTCAAGGGGTGGGGTATATGGGGTACACCACTGGGGTACAAAGTGGTGTACCCATAGCACGATTGGAATTCTAAGCAATGGATATATATCTCATAATAAATCACGTGCTCCAACTTTAGCTTCTTAAAAATAATTGCGAGATTCCTAGTCGGGTCAGGATTCCTTAAAAATAGAACAAACATGCCTGCAACTCTTCACTATGTGACAGACAAGATGTTATAGCTTCATCCTAAAACGAGTATTGCTAGAGTCACAAACATACAGTTCACAAAATTCACAAATTTACATTTTTAACACTTTTCTAGAAATAAAATGTACTCAAATAATAAAAGATATTTCATTTTAAAATTTACAAAAGGAAAGTTTGTGAAGTTTGTGAATTACTCCCTCCGTCCCACTGTCTT